AAATACAGACAGCGACGATTGTGCCTGAAAGCTTACAGGCCAGGAGGGGAGATCAGCAGAGCAGCTCTGGGCTGACCACTCCTGAACAGCAGGGGGCTAAGAGAATAACACAGCAACAAACATCAAAGGGCTGAAGGGAAGCTGTAAGAAGCCGAATATTCACAACTAGTCAGGAACATCAGAGAGCCTGGTGGTAGAGTGCAAGAGGCATTTGTAGAAGATTCTGTATTAACTGACAGGGTTTCTCTTCTCAGCCTTCAGGGCTTTGATGCATCCTACAAAGTCCCTTGAGGTCATGTAAGCCCCGAGGCAAGAGGAATCCCTCTAATTAGAGGATTCCAACCTGAAGAAGACTGAGAGGTCAACAAACAGCCATATTCTAACACAAAAGAGCATGTAATAAAGACAGTGAGTGCCACACTGCTGCTGCTGCTGCACTGTCAGAGCGGTTCACTCAAACCAGGCCCTCAGCCCACCCTGGGTGCTCACCAGCACAACTGCATCCACGCCCGCCTGCACCAGCAGGTCCAGCCGGTACTTGTCGTCCTCGTGGGTCCCGATAGCAGCTCCGCAGAGCAGCTGCTTCTTGGAATCTTTGGATGCCAGAGGGTAGTCCCTGTTCTTTTTGAGATCAGTACGAGCAATTATAGCCACCAGCTCGTCATCTTCATTAACAATTGGCAGTTTGCCTGGAAACAAACAGAAAGAACATCATTGCAGGTTTCTGCAGCAGTCGGACGTTAGCCCAGGCCAGTGCGGCAGATCAGGGGCATTGGGCAGGCAGCAACTGCTACAAGATGGAGACTCAAAGAGGTGTGTTACCCAGCCTTGCTTGGCCATGGATGCCAGCAGCCCTGGCTTGGAGCAGGACTGGAGAAGGACTCCGTATTTTTCAAACTGAACATAGAAAAAATGTTTATTTTTTAATAATTAGACCCACCACACACTGTTAAAAGTCAAACCACCAAACTCTAACAGAGCTGAACTCAGTGCTGAAATGTGAGGGCCAGGATAGAAAATGGAAGTCATGTGGCTGGACAGCAAGGCGCTCTTCAGCTCCTGGGCTGCCAAGAATCCCTCAACTCCAAACACATTTGAGATGAAGGCATGTGAACTCTGCACCCTGGCAGAGGGCTGCAGGCACTCTCCTCACTGTCCCCTCCTTGTGCTGGAATGAAGCCTTCCCATGTTCCACCCACACACAGACCGCGTGCCCACAGCCACCCACTGCCCTCCCAGCCCGGCACTCCCACAACTCTCCCTCGTGCCGACGGTCACAGGTACCTTTTTTACTCCTTTGCAGAATTTCATTTGCTTCTTTCAACATTACACCAGCTGGGGCCACAACAAGATCTTCCCGCTTTGTCATAATCTAGTGGGTGGGAGAAGATAAAAAGTCACAAGAACTCCTTCACACCGATCTGAAAATACCAAACCCCTCTGCCCACATGATACGCTCCACAGTAGCCGTGCGGGAGCACTCCACACACCGCAGCAACACGCCTCCAGAAACACAGGAACAGCCTCCAGTGTGCTGTCCCCATGCCAGTGGTGACATCAGGACCCAAGCCCATCAGTGCACTGAAAACAGGAGATGATAGAAGGCCTCAGCAAGCCAAGGGAAAGCACACAGAAACAAGGGACAACTCTCAGATGATCGCTGTTTGGGGTGTAACCCAAACAGCCCTCCCTTTTAACGAAGCACTGGGAAATAAGGGCTGGAGACACCTCTGGAGCCTCATGTTGGTCTGGCAGAAACGTTACCCCCAGTCTCATTTTCAGGCAGCATCCCCAGCACACAGGCTCTGGAAGGGCTCTGCCAAAAAAACCCCACTGCGGGCAAGGTCAATGGGGCAAAAGTCACTTTAAAACCAGGACAAATCCAAACACGCTCACCCACGCTCACTTGGACAAACAAGTACCAAAACACAGTGGAATGCCAGGGGCAGTGCTGGACAGAAGCTGGAACAGGGGAACTGCTGATGTGGTATACAGAAAAAAGCTTTCACCACAACAGTGGTCAAACACTGGAAGAGCAGCCTAGAGGGGCAGTGAAATCTCCATCCTTGGAGACATGGACACAGCGCCACACAGCCTGCTCCAGCTGAATCTGCCTTGAGCAGGAGACTTGACAAGAGACTGTGATGTCCCTTGCCAACCACAGCATTCTGTGATCACCAGGTTCACGTGGGATATCCTCATGAAAGGTTACTCAAGAAGGCCAGGCAAAGCTAAAAGGGAACACTTTCCAACCCTTCAGGAAGGTAGACTAGTTGCACACAACAAAAAAGAGAGATAACATTTTAGTTATTTATACCATAAGAACAGACATTTTGCATCAGGGAAGAGGCTGACTCTGCCTGCATCCACCCAAAATCCTGTCTGTGACAGAACCCATATCTCAGGAAAAGCCTGAGTAATCAAAGACATTGAGGAGACCTGTGTGTTTAACTGGATGGCAATGAACAGCTCAGCAAGACAACTGCTGGACTGCAAGTGGAGAGGAGATTGAGGAAACCGTTCGTTTCCCTGGCCTTGCCTGGTGACAGGGACAAGCACCAGACACTGACAGCAAAAGGGCTTCCATCTTTGCAGTGCTAAATGATCCACATAAGAAAGAGGGGAGATTCTTATCTGGCTCCTCTATATGGGCAGCACCACTTCGAAGGGCCATGTGCACTTTTATAACCTACTCCTGGTTTATGATTCCTGTATCAGGTATTTGTAGGCGATTGCAAACCAAACAGGGATGAGCATGTGATACGGGGTTTGGTCAGCAAGAGCTAAAAATAATTGTGAGTCAAAAGTAAAACGTGGCCAAGAGGCACCAGTGGTGAAACCTGACAGTGCTGTGGATCTACAGTTACATAGCCTGTGTGACAGACCGCAGGGAATGTTCTCCTGCACGAGGGGAGTCTGACAGGGCAGCGTTATGAAGGCCACTCGGCCACTCTGCAAGTTCAGAGTCTTATTTTAAAGAGCAAGTAGCCCAGATGAGGCACACAGGGAAAGGCAGTCCAGAAAATGAAGCTCAGCCCTTGGAGGGCTTGCTGGGCACAGTGCAGCTGTTACAGCCCTGGTCAGTGCCAGACTGCTACACAGGATCACAGCCAGCAGCCAGGAACACTGGCAATTAATTAGTGAAGCAAGGGAGAGCACCAGCTGCAGGGAGGATGGTTTCCACAGCACTGAAAGATAACCCCTAGGAGTCATACAAACTGCATGGTCACTCCACTGTGTCCGCACTGCAGGAGTCGCTAAGGGAGTGCAAATGAGGGAGACACTCTCCAGGAAATACAGTCACAGATGGATCTGCAGAGCTAAGGTAGAGCTGCTCCCTCCCACTGGCACAGCATCCTCACAGTCACACGCTCACCCTTCTTACCACAAGCCACACGGTTTCCCAAGGCAGTACTCGCACCCATCGGGTGCTCACAAGCCCTTCTCACCTCACCGAGGGGCAGGTCATGCTCTGACTCTTTCAGGAAGTCAATATCTCTAGATGAGATGATCCCAACCAGCTTGCCCCCCATCTTCCCGTTGTCCGTGATGGGAATCCCACAGAATCCGTGACGAGCTTTTGCTTCGAACACATCTCGCACTCGGTCGTTGGGGCTCAGCACCACGGGGTCTGTGATGAATCCTTGCTCATATTTCTGAAAGGAAGCAAATCCAGCAGCCAGGTTGAGCAGCACTGCCAGGCTGACCAGGAGCAGGGCATGTGCCTGGAGGTCACTACAGCCCCTCACTCAGCTCCACAACCACCCAGCCTGGCCACGTGCTCACCAACAGGATGACTCCCAAACCAGCACCAAGGCTCACTATTGTGTTAAAAACCAAGAGTTTCCAAGCTAACATCCTTCCTGAAATGATGGGGAATATTCCCACACCAGGAGGCCTGGCAGATCTCAAATCCCAGGCTGTGCAGGGACAGCACTTGACACACAAGAAGAGGGTTGTGCAGGCAAACCCTGGCAGCACTACAGCTCTGAAACACCAAGATCTGGCACGTTTCAGCAGGGTCAGACCACGCTGCCCACCCGCACGAAGCACCACTGCTGCCGCCCCAGCCACTCACCTTCACCTTCCGCACTTCATTAGCCTGGAACTCCGGGGTGCAGTTGTGGTGGATGAACCCTATTCCCCCGGTCAGCTGGGGACACAAAGGCGGCTGTGAGACACTGCAATCCCCGCCCGGCGCCGCACCGGGAGCGATGGAGCCCCCGGGCCGTACTTGGCCCCGTGGCGGACACGCGGGAGCCTCGGGCAGCGTTTCCAGCCCCGCCACGGGGCCGCACTCACCGCCATGGCGATGGCCATGCTGGCCTCGGTGACCGTGTCCATGGGCGAGGAGACCAGCGGGGTCTTCAGGGTGATCCTCTTGGTCAGCGCTGAGGTCAGGTCCTGGCGGGGAGGCGGCGGCGGCTGAGCGGCGGCACCGGCCCAGCCCCCGGCCCGGCCCCCGGCCCGCTCCCCCGCCCCGGCCACTCACCACCTGGTCTGCCGTGAAGTCGATGTACCCCGGCAGGATGAGGAAATCGCTGCGGGGTAACGAAGGGAGACGCGTTAGCGACCGCCTCGGCCCCGCGCCCCCGGCCCCGGCCCCACAGCCGCGCCGGCCGCACTCACTTGTAGGTGAGCCCATCGCCGCAGCTGAAGAGCTGCTGCGCCGTCAGCCCGTCGTCGGGCACGTATCCGGTGCCGCCGCTGATCAGATAGTCCGCCATGGCCCCGCCGCGTGCCCGCCCCGCCACACCGAGCGCACGCGCGCCCCGACGGCCGCCGGGGCCAACCCGGCTGCGCCCGCCTCGCGGAGCGGACAGAGCGGCCCCCGGCAGCGGCCGGCACCGCATCGCCCCCTGCCGGCCCGGAGGGCCCCGCACCGCGACACGGCCCTGGAGCCCGCCCAGCGCTGTCGGCACCGGGGACACGCCGGCGACACACCGGGCCCGGGTGACGCTCTCAGCCGCCGGCAGTTCCTCCTCAGTGTCTCCTCAGCACCGGCCCCGCGCGTGCCCAGCCCGGTGCCGCCGGGCCGGCGCGGCCGTTGTGTGCTCGGGCACTGCAGCCGCGCCCGCGTGTCGGGGGAGGCGGGAGGACAGAGCTCCGGGACAGCCCAGCACAGCCCTGTGCGCCGTTCCTCGGCTTGGCTGACACAGCGTGGCCAGCGCAGTGTGACACCTGCTACAGCACCGCCTAAGAAAGCCCAGCAATGGGTGATGCACACAAACACGGTGGGGCGGGAGCTGAGCCCAACACCAGATACTCCAGCAGCTTCTGCAGGAAGATGAGAACGGGCCTGTTGGGTCTGTGGTGGATGCAGAGCTGGGACACACCAGCAGAACCCAAAGCAACTTTGTAAGTCAAAGTGAGCTGCAAGAAGGAGAAGGTCAAAAGGTGGCAAGCAAGGCAAGTCTGGCACCAAGAGGGGAATGAAAGGCACAAAGGAGAGGATCCAAGGTGATCCCAGCTAGGTATTATCCCCCTCTTGCCAAAGCCCCCAGGCCAGGCTGTACAAACAAGCACTGTGAAGAGGATGGCTGCACACGGGGGATTGTAGTGTAGCACCTTCCTGTCTGTGCTGCAGGGGGTGACTGGAGGCAGGATTTTGGAGAAGAGCAGTAACAGGAGTAGGGAGGACTGTGCCTGGAGTGGAACAGGCAAAAACACAGATCTGCCTTAGAGGACCCTTGAAGGAAATAGCAGTTGTTTCTTTTCCAGGATGAGATGTTCCCATGCCTGCAGGTCTGTTGGAGCATCAGGAAAAGTATCTGTACTGCAGGTTACAGAACAACTTCCTTCTCTGATTGATGATTTCCTTCTTGTGTCATTCCAGATCTGGCCTCAGAGCACCAGGGACAGAAGAAAACCAGACCCCTTCTCACCCGCTGTCCAAGGCAATCCCCTGTCTAACACTAACCAGTTCAGGGACTAAAGAATGGTGCTCCTGTGCCTGCAACTGTCCTACTGCAGTAGGTTAAATCCTTGCCCGAAGATCAGAAATCAGCTTCAAGAAATGTGTTACTCATGTTACCCAGCTGTGGGACACAGGAAATGTAACAGTGACATCTGCTCAGGTCTCCTGAAATACTTGGAAGCAAACAGGCTTTTTATGCTGAGAGTCACCAGCCTCTAGTTTGGACCAACATATTTTCATCTGAGTAAGGTTCTACAAAAGACAACATGGAGTTTAGAGAAAGACAGGCCAGGCTTTCAGTGACTTTTATGGAGGGTGAAAAGCCCCAAACAAGTGAACTATCTATGGACAGGAGGAGGACTCCCAAGTGACTTGTTTGGTCTCAGCAGCAGTGATCTGCAAAGGTTGTGGTCTTCAAGTTACAGTTGTTTCCCATGGGATGGTGGGTTTGTCTGTAGCAGGAAAGGAAGGTGCAAGCCTCAGCATGGGGATGGTTCCCTTTGCTATGAGAAAGGGTACATGTGGCTTTCAAGGCCCCCCCAGAACTAGGAAAATGCAGCCCTTGCACAGTGAAGAGCCAGTGACAAGGATCCGCAATGGCCCTTAAAACTTTCAGCCAAGAGTGGTGGTGATGATGATATCGCCAACATCAACACCATCTCCTTCCCACAGCCACACAGTAACAGTGCTTTGTTGTTACGTGACATTCTGAACTCTGCAGGGTTTAATTCTTGTTCCCAGACTCTGCTATCAAGGACTGTATTCCACCCTGCTGTTACCTCTGTACATAATTCCTGGGCTGAATTTCAGCTAAGAGCTCATTTCTCCTATCCACACACCAGTGTCCCACTGGTTGCAGTTTGCCTGAGCTAGGGAGCTGGAAGAAAAGCACTGTCCTTTGCAGAAAATAAAAGCACCTAGGCCCACACCACTGAAAACCGTTCCCCGTCAAGGCACCGAGATGGTTATCCCAGAGGCAGGGATCAGAGCCACAGCGTTCCCAAGGAAAGCGCTGCCTGCCAAGGACACGCACTCTTGAGTCAGCATTACCTGTCACAGGATCAGCACAACAGGAGGCATCATGCCAGACCAAAATCAGGCTAACAGGTCTCTCTACCCTTATTTAAAATAAAGACAGGCTAACAAAGGCTTGCTGAGCCTACCTGGGCAGCACACACTGATCTGAGCTACAGCACGGGCACAGCAGTAAACAGGCAAGTTGGCTTCTGTTCCAATGGAAACATCAGACAAAGTTTAATGGTTCTCAAACAGACTACAACAAAGGCTGCAGGGAAAAACATTTTATTTCCAAGCAGATTACAAAGAGCAGAGAATATAAGAGTAAAATTAAATTAAAAAAATAGTTGAGTGCATCTCTTTAAAATGATTTGTAGTGTGAGTTACTCACGGGGCAAAGCTACTGGAGAGTTCTGAAGGTCACTTTGCAGGATGCCAATCACATGTGCTGTTTAGACCTGGGTCAACACAGGAGGGACAGACAAGACGTATTTTGCATATAGGCTGCACACTCATTATCAAGCGAGGCTCTGGGCTGCAACTGGACCCTGCCTTTCCGAGACATCCCCTCCACCTCGTTTCTCTCCTGCAGTTCCCTCAAGTTCTAGACATGGTTTATTGCTGCTGTAAGTGAGTTCAATCTGACTCCCCATTCTGATGAGCTCCAATGAGAAGGAAGAAGCAGGCAAACGTGGCTGCCATGCACAAGGTTATACAGGGAATGTGGCTGCAGTGCTGAGGGCAGAGCTTCAGCCACACAGCAAAGGGAACCGACAAGTAGGGGGCACAGCGAGTGCTTCAGAGATTTGGGGGCAGCATGTCAGCTAGACTTCTGGAAGAAGATTTGAGCTGCTCCTTAAGGTAGGAAGAGACTCAAGTGGAGAAAAGCTCCTTCCTATGCATTGGCACCAGTGAAACAGAAGAGGCTGAATCATCAGGATAAGGTGCATTCCCTGTAATATCTGAGAGGAGCAGCTCCAGCAGTAAGATGGGCAGAAAAGCCCCATATAGGGTGGAAGACAGCTGATATCCCACTTTAACAGTGATTTAAGAGTCCAAGCACTAATTCCAAGTCAGTTACTATTAAACTCACACAAGAATGCAGTTTGGCTGGACTGTGCAGAGTCAATCAGTGTCTAGCAGCACTCAGACCAGCAAGAGGATGTGCAACTACAGCACCAGCAAGTCCTCCACCCCCTGTATGCTAAGTGGACTCTTTTCTACCACATCTGGATCTGCTCTTACCACAGCATAAGGGGCTTGGAGGCCTCATCCCTTCTACTGTAGCACACAGTAGCCCTAATGCAGCTGAGAACAAGGCTGTCTTAATTTCTGCCCCAGGAGCAACAGTGCAGAAGAGGATTCTTTTCTAGGGACCAGATTACATATTTTTTTATTGCCCAAGGCAGAACAGTTCAGGAACTACTTCAGACCTTGTGACCCATCTAATAAGTCCAGACCTCTAGGGGTGAAGAAGCCAATAGATGAAAGCCCTATTAAGTTACTTGGACCATTCCCTTTACTCACCACTCTAGACAGAAGAACCACTCTCTAGTCTGCTTGTTGCTGCTTCAACCATTACCACTCAGAGGAAATGCTTGAACTCTTGAAAGCAAATGAAAATCTAATGGTGCCATGGACAAGCGTGTAAGAGGCTACAAGTTTCCTAAAGAAAGCAGCACTGTTAGTGTCAAGAGCTTGGACAATACATGAGTCTCATGTCAGAATGTGAGGTGCTTTACAACAGTCAGTCACGCTCTGATTTCCATGGTTCCTTTCATAACCCAGCAACAAGATGGGCACAGTTCAAAACCAACATGGCAGGGTCTCTACCTTGACTTCTCAGCTCTATTTATTTAGAGATCAATGCATTTTCAGCCTGTCTCACACAAGGCATGGGGCAGGGAGAGTTCCTGTTGAATATATACACGCATACAAGAGCGAGCAGTTTGGCACTCTCGGAGCCGAGGGGGAATGCCCTTGAAGCAGCAGTCAAGCTGGTTATAGGAAAGTGTTAAAAAGCTATTTTACATGTTTGACTGGGAACATTTCCCAGAACTCGGACAGCAACTCTAAGCCACAGCACTCTTCTGTGCTACTCTGTGCACGTATTCCTGTGAGCCCCTACAAGGGAGCAGATCATGTTCTTCACTATCAAAGAACATAGTATTTATATTCTAGAAATACTGTACCTTTTAAATTAGCTCCAGAGAGCCAGACTAGAAGCCAGGTCCAGGAAAATAATCCTTAAGTCACAGTATATCGATTGTCTCTAAAAATAGGGAATGAAGTTAACACAGTGGACATTCTGATGAGACAGTACAGAACAGTACAGCAGTCCACTTCTGCCTCAGCAGATCCCTCTCCTATGTACATCTGAACAATGAGAAAGTAATGGAGACACTTCAGTCCATCAGGACAAAACCAATCATCAGGAGATCTCCACAGCTCACCATGTGCCAAGTTTCCCTGTTACCAATCAGTATACTCCAAGATCAAGGAGAACTCTTCCCCTACAAAGACTTTAGATTATCCTGCAGTTAAGGGTTGTAAGGAAAGTGCACAGCCTAGAATTTTAAGGTAACACGGAATTCTCTTTCCCCAGAAAACTCATCTGAAGTACCTGTTCATCCCTAACCTGCAACTGCCCCAATGTTCTGTCATGTTATTGCAGCTTCTGGCAATTTTTAGACTAAGAGGTGACTCCCAAGGTCACCTAGTGAAGCAACTGGTACAGGGGGTATCTGACAGATGGTTTAACACCCACTGTACTTCTGATGGAGACAGCCAAGGCAGGAGGCTTTGCAACTCTGCTCAGAAGATGGGACAAACTGCCCACAAGAAAGAGAAATCCACCCTGTGCAGGCCTGTTGGGGACCCTGAGCAACAGGCACATGCAACTGCTTGAAATAGTGGGAGCCTGCCCCAACAATGTCCTTAACTCTTAAATTAGGGCCAAAGATGGAAATTCCAGTCACTAAGATATGGTGAAGGGATTAGAGGATTCTGACAGCTGAAGCACTACTGATGATCCCAACAGCCACTCTGCCACAGGGGCAATGATGGATCCAAGCAGACAGCTGCCAGCACTACACACTACCCAGGCACCATCTTCCCAGTTCACCCACTGGGACCTGGGCACCAACCCCAGGCTGTTCTCCCCCGGCCCACCTCTGAGAGCAGACACTGAGCTAAGAGTCTAAAGTACAGTGCAGGTTTTACAAAACAACAGAGCATTGCTACTTCACCTCTCTGCACTTATTTGAGCACAGAGTCCTACAGAGGGAACAAACTGCTCATACTGACAACTAACTCGAGCACACGGGCTTCCTTGGGAACACCAACGTCCATACAAAGCATCAAGGGCTTGGGAAGTCTCTCTAAGCGTGCACGCCTCAACACTGCTCACGAGCACAAAGACAGGGAACGTTGTGGCTACTCTCATTTACACTGTGCACAACCAACAGAGAGGGCAGACCTTCCTTCTCAATACAGACAGGTACTGGTCAACAGAGGCTTCAGAAAAATTGCTTGCTTGTACACAAGTTTAAGTTCTTTTACTGTAATATATATTTAAGTATTTACCTACGTATTTTGGAACAGGGAAGGGACATGAGGTGGAGAAGCAGGGGAGACAAGTTCAAGAAGCAGAGTCATCTCTCTGCATCCAAGAAGCTGGTGGCACAAATAACAAGCCTGGCAAGTGATCTCCCATTTCAAGCACAGTTGGCTACCCGCTGGGTTCAAAAGAGCAGACTATTTGTTAATGATATAAAATATCGCAACCATTTAAGCTGCAGCAAGGCAAGGCTACAGGGCTGGGGTTTATGATCATGAACGATGCCAGGACCTACACAGCTATGTTAAAAACTGTGAAAAGGCTGTTAATAGCAGGAGTAAGCCATATGCTGCTCCTGGAAGGCCTTTTCCCTCCAAAGCCCCTCCATCATGCCGTTGGTGTGATGTATTTGAAAAGGAGAGAGGGATTTTTCTAGGGGTAAAGCCACAGAACATGAGGACAGTCTGATCTGGTCTCACAGATTCCATGTCCCTAGCCTGGCACTGAGCTTCCATCAGCAAGCAGACATTCAGGTCCTTCAACAGAAGTTTATGCCCTTCTACCTTCAAAATTTGTAGAGGTGAAAGAAGTCCAGCAGAGCTGAGCTGGAAAGCACAAACAGGGATGAAAACAACCAGTTTGCATACTGATCTTTGCATAATGACCCCCCACCCTCACAGCTCACTCTTCCCCAAATAAAGACACATTGTTCAATGGCATGTTGAAAAGACGTGCTCGTCATTCTTAATAAACAACTAGAGTAAGAATACATAAGAGAAACAGGGTGGTATCTTTATATGATACACAAGTGTATGTTACAAGAATTCCATCAGGCACAGAAGCCTCAAGGTTTAAGGCCTCAATGTTAGGCCAAAAAAGAAGAGTGTGGTAAAGTTTGTACTTTTAACATCTAAAAATGTCACTTAAAGGTCTGAATAGAAATTGTTGGTTTGTTTTTTTTTTTTTGTATAAATCATAATTGCAGTTCACTCTCTCCTCTTTCTTCCAAGATATCAGCAAATTAACGTCCAAGCACAAGAAAAGAAGATGCCTGCCTCTCCTCCACTGGCTGAGCAGGTCCATCCATCATTCTGTGCCCTCTAGGCTGCACGTGCTCCAGGGAGACAGAGGCCCTGGCCAACCAGGCCAATCCTGTAGTTCATATTTTCTACATCATAAAAAAAAAAACCCAGAGTCAACCAGCAGCTTTCCACAGCTCCCAGCTTGCAGGGGATATGCAGCCTCCAATGGTTCCAACAGTTTGGTGTGTTGGGTAGGATACACAATGGGTAGGTTTTCCTTTAGATTCTTTTAAAGAGAAGAAGCCTAAAAGGGCTTCATAACTACACCAATAAAAAACCAAAAACTTAGGCATCTCCTTTAGTGTAAAAGTCTGTACAATTTCTCTTTGCTTGTCCCTCCCCCATCACCCTGCCCCACCCCTTCTGAGCCACAAAGGATGCCTTAGTGCATGGTGCTGGCATTAGCCACGGCAAGAGCTTCCTGAATCTCTCGTATCACCAGGATCCGGGTGAGCATCTGCTCCATCTGCTCTCTGCTGATCGGCTGGATGGAATACCAGATAGGGCTGTTGGGGGCCACCACTGGCTCCGGTGTCAAGTAAAACGTGTCATTCCGGCCTTTCACACTCTGGGGGCTGTGTGAGGAAGATCAGAAATAACCAGACTAACAGAATGCCCTAGAACGGAGAGACCACCACTGCCCTCACCCCAGGCTTCACAAATCCTGACAGTGAACATCTGGCTGATGAGATATAAAGGTACAGAGTTACACCTAGGGACAACACT